GTTTGAAATTAAACCAAATAATTATTTACTAATGGTTAATTAACTAATTTTTTTTTTTGGGAGGGGGGGGGGTAAATTAATCCTTGTTTTGATAGGTACAAGAAACAATGTTGCGAAATTTCACCTTGATCCAATATTGGGTGTGTGAGAAATAACGAGTACAAACTTTATCCAGACAGACAGACAGACAGACATTGAGTTGATATAAGCTTTGTTAGAATTGTAAACAACCTCTTTTTTTTGTAAACAATTAGACTTGAAGTGCTATTACCATATCATCTCGAATTAGTTTTTATGTATTTTTTATACATTTTATTTATTATAAACCATGAGACCCTGACGCGTACATAATACGACAAAAAACATGTTGTTATTTATTTTCTAAGCTGTTCTGTCTATATCAAAAAAAAATATATGAATTTAGATAATTAGAAATTAGAGTTGCACTCAATGGCTTATATTTATAGAAAAGAAATGGGCAACTAACTAACGCTGATAAAGGATGTAAATGTCAAACTTAAATGTTAATGTTAAATTTAGAGTATAATTTTTTTTTTATTGGCAATAGTAAGTTCAATATCAAGTCACTGACTTCTTTTTTTAAATTTAATTTTGAAAACCTCAAAATCTGTTTCAAATTTTTTAAATCAATCAATTTTCACTATTTTTTTTTTTTACAAATATATTAAATTAAATCAGAGTTGTATATGTGATGTATCCTCAGAGCAAATTATACTTTCGTTGGATTTGGCTACTGAAGATGTACTAAGATGTGAGGCAAGCTGGTATCCAAAGAATATTACAATTAAAAATGAATTTACAGGACAGGTTTTGTTAACTACAAAAGATAATGGTAATAAAGTACATGAAAGTAAAACTTCGTTTCGATATTTCACATATATATCGAACAAATGTGAGAACTCTGGCCTTTACACTTGTAGTATCACAGATTTTCAAAACAAATATTATCAAAAAATGTTTGTGAAAAGGACTGAAGGATGTAAGTAATATATATTGTTACGTCTATTTGCGTCTCTGCTAAATCTGGACAACATAACACAATTAACTCAAAGACTTGACAACTCGATCACTTTATTGACTGTGTGTAATAACAGACGAATATTATACAAGCAATGATGAGATAATTACTGTACAATCGTATCACTGAAGAGAAATTTACAAAACGGTAGTATTGTACAGAACTAAACTAAACTCTGTTTTATCGTTTGTTTGTTTTGCATGTTTCAAATGTTCCTTTAGTGTTGAAATTACTTCCTTGTCCAAACCTCATGCAGGGCAACGGGGAAAGGCAGCGGGCAGAGTATGAACCCCGGACCATCGAGAACACCTAATGACAGTCAAGCGAGCATACCGCATGACCAGATAGCCACTCTATTTCATCCTGAAGTCGTACTAATACTAATTTACTGGACCATCTTGACTCTCTCTCTCTCTCTCTCTCTTTCTCTCTCTCTGTGTATGTCTCCGTATAAAAATGACAGAACAATACATAAATGTCTGTGTTTATGTATTAAAATATGTGTTCAAATCCATGTTGTTGCGTGTTTGATTTAAGAGTGAGTCTAGATCAACATCTTTGGACATATCTGCTATTTGCAGGTAAGTTTGAATTCAATGAAGAAACAGAGTTGCAATTTCGAATATATATAAGTTAATATAATCAACATTAATTGCAATCAAAATCAAAATCAATCAATTAAAAGTTAAATCATTTTGTATTAGTGGCTCAATGGCATAAATTGAATAAATTCCAACATGAAATATTGAATAAGGATGTTTAACTTACTTCCCCTTTATACCTCTTATGTATATCCAGAAATATCCAGAATCGAAAATGGTAAAAATTGTTTTAATGAAGTATCACAGAACATCTTGAATCATTATACACATCACGAGATGCCTTTAGCTAAGTGACTCGGAAGAAAAATGGAAACCAAATTATAGGCCTGCAATACAGTTGAGCTTTATTAGCAGTATCTGCTAACTAAGTTTAGAATGTATTTAATATAATAAAATGTCCATAGTGGCATTTGTCTTTTTGAAAAATAATCTATACTAGTTGACCGGAGGAGTAGCATACGCCACTATTTTGCAAGGCCAGCCTTAGGCCTCTGCAACCTATGCGACCGCAGAGGGCCCCGCACTTTTATAGGATTCGCGCTTATTCAAGGTGTATAAATTATTAAATTAAACCATTTTATAACTTAAAACAGATTTCACGCGCCCTTCTGTCGATTTATCAGGAGCTCCTGGAAATCTCCCGAAATTGCAAAATTATACGAAAAAGTACTTAACATATACGAAATATATAGACACAAATTGTCATTTGGTGGTGTCATTCAATATAAAGATCGCCGATTCTACGCGCGATAAATAAAAACGGCATTATGCATTAGCCGTAATTGTGTAATCTGGTGAAAGAAGCTTCTCGCGCCCCATACTATTGAAGAATTACTTGAGGTCAACAAATCTCAAAGACGGATTAAAACATTTCGTAATTCTTGCTATTGAGCGTGATCTATGTAGGAAACAGAATAATTATGATATACTGTAAGACTTCGCTACACGCAAGGCTCGTAAAGTAATTCTGTACGTATTAAAGAATGAATAAAATGCATAGACAAATTTATTTTCTAATACAAACTCTTAAATTTCACTTATTATCCGTATCCCTACCCAAACTTGGCTCCGCGAAATCCGTTTCGCATAGGGCCCCTGTGGTGAAATAGTTAGTATTTGTTTATGTTTGTGTAACGTCGTGAGAATGAGTTCACAACATTGATTTAGTGTGCTACTATCCAAGTCTCTTTCGTCAGTTCATGTGTCGTTCTAGTTTTATAAAGCCTAGTTTTAGGTTACTCTTCAGTGTTCCTTTATTTCTTATTAAGTTTGCTATTTAGTGACGGGTGAATATACATAGTAGATTATTTAATCTCTTTCCATGACTTCTTGGTCACAATGATTAAATCCGGCGCTACTATTTAGTGTTGTAAAATGTTTGCTTGTAAAATGTTTGCTTGTAAAATGTTTTACATGTTTCGGATGTTCCTTCAGAGTTGACGATAGTTTACTTCCTCGTCCAAACCTACCGCAGGACGAAGGGGGGTGGGAGCGGGCAGGGTTTGACAGTCCAGCGCGCAGCCATCCGTATTGACTTGTGAATACCCACTTGTTCTTCTCCCTCCCCCTTTTGTTTTTTCGTGTGGTAACTATCCGCAGAAACAAGAGAGTGATCTTTCCTTTACTTCTTCTTCTCATCCAAACTCTTGAGGGAAGAGAAGAATTATATATTTAGATTAATGATTGAATAAAGAGACAATGAAAATATAATTCAATATATAACTCTTTATTAAATAAAACATTTATTTTGTTAAATAAAAAGCATACTGGTTTATCGTGTATGTTGTGGTATATGTAAGTATATATCAAAATTTGTATTTAAATCAACAGGTCCTGTGAAATTCTGCGATAATTCTAATACAACTGTTCTTCAAACAACAATTAATAAAACTGTTAATTTTAGTCTATGTTTGTTCTTTAATGACGACATCGACATTGGGGTACCGAAGACATCTTTAGAAAATGTCAGATACGTAAAAGAGGAAAGGTTAACGAGAAATAGTTATCTCCTCTTGCACTTTCGCATTTACAAGGTGGATGACACGTTCGCTGGCAACCACACCATTGTGATAAGTACATTGAATAAAAGAACTTATAAAAGACAGAACCTGAACAGGATTCTCACAATAGTGACTTACAGTAAGTGTGTGCATTCAAATTTAGAATGTGTATTCAATTTTTCATTAGAGATGTTCGTCAATGGGCAAAACAAATATATAAATAGCTTTAAATTTTGGTGTATCCGGTGTATAGAATAAATACAGTGTTGATAAGTTATTTGTGTGTGTGTGTAAATATGTATTGTGCACTTTAGATCACTGCATTAACCAATGTGTATTGTGCACTTTAGATCACTGCATTGACCAATGTGTATTGTGCACTTCAGATCACTGCATCAACCAATGTGTATTGTGCACTTTAGATCACTGCATCAACCAATGTGTATTGTGCACTTTAGATCACTGCATCAACCAATGTGTATTGTGCACTTTAGATCACTGCATCAACCAATGTGTATTGTGCACTTTAGATCACTGCATCGACCAATGTGTATTGTGCACTTTAGATCACTGCATCAACCAATGTGTATTGTGCACTTTAGATCACTGCATCAACCAATGTGTATTGTGCACTTTAGATCACTGCATCAACCAATGTGTATTGTGCACTTTAGATCACTGCATCAACCAATGTGTATTGTGCACTTTAGATCACTGCATCAACCAATGTGTATTGTGCACTTTAGATCACTGCAACAACCAATGTGTATTGTGCACTTTAGATCACTGCATTAACCAATGTGTATTGTGCACTTTAGATCACTGCATTAACCAATGTGTATTGTGCACTTTAGATCACTGCATCAACCAATGTGTATTGTGCACTTTAGATCACTGCATCAACCAATGTGTATTGTGCACTTTAGATCACTGCATCAACCAATGTGTATTGTGCACTTTAGATCACTGCATCAACCAATGTGTATTGTGCACTTTAGATCACTGCATCAACCAATGTGTATTGTGCACTTTAGATCACTGCATCAACAAATGTGTATTGTGCACTTTAGATCACTGCATCAACCAATGTGTATTGTGCACTTTAGATCACTGCATCAACCAATGTGTATTGTGCACTTTAGATCACTGCATTAACCAATGTGTATTGTGCACTTTAGATCGCTGCATCAACCAATGTGTATTGTGCACTTTAGATCACTGCATCAACCAATGTGTATTGTGCACTTTAGATCACTGCATCAACCAATGTGTATTGTGCACTTTAGATCACTGCATCAACCAATGTGTATTGTGCACTTTAGATCACTGCATCAACCAATGTGTATTGTGCACTTTAGATCACTGCATCAACCAATGTGTATTGTGCACTTTAGATCACTGCATCAACCAATGTGTATTGTGCACTTTAGATCACTGCATCAACCAATGTGTATTGTGCACTTTAGATCACTGCATCAACCAATGTGTATTGTGCACTTTAGATCACTGCATCAACCAATGTGTATTGTGCACTTTAGATCACTGCATCAACCAATGTTCTAGACTTCCTCTTTGTTGCCCATATTTCTTTTGTTATTCAGTTCCAATAAGGACGTTCACTTTAGGGTGCTTGGCATCATTCACAAACAAATCATTCACAAACAAATCATTCACAAACAAATCGTTCTCAAACAAATCGTTCACAAACAAATCGTTCTCAAACAAATCGTTCACCGACAAATCGTTAACGACTACTTGTTTACCAGACAATTCTTTTTTTTTTATATGTTTGTGATAAAAATAAAAACTTAGGGGAAAAAAAGGCACAAATTAAATTAACAGGCTAGTTGAACAAGGGCTGAAAGCGTCTTGCAGTTTATTCGTGAAAACTCCCTATAATCACAATCATATCGATATAATCTATTAACCCAGTGTTGCTTGAACGATTTATTCATGTGACTATTTCAATTTCCCATTTATGTTTTAAGTTTTTCCGATTTAAGTTTTAAGTTTTCAGGGTCACATTGAACCGCGTATTGGGACGTATGTGGCCCAAGTGCATTTGGTTGGGCATCCTTAGACAAGAAGTTAACATTTATATTGCTTGGCTCAAACTGGTCCTCTAAAGTTTCTTTTCTTACACTTAGTACATAGCTGCAAGATTAATTATATTGGCAATACTTGGCTTGACTTGGATACCTAGAAGGGGGCTCGAGGTTCGACACCCGACTCGGCAGAGTTGTGTTTACTGAGCGCCTAAAGGCAGCACGGAAAACCAACTCCTAGATACCCCCTCCCCCACACTGGCTCACAAATGAGATTGGACCAAAAACGCTCTGAGCATGCTATAAGCATGAAAGTAGCGCTATTTAAAAGCTATAATAATAATAATAATAATAATAACACTGACAAGTTGTTTAGTGATTACGTGTTTTTGTTTGTTTTTGGTTTAATTCTTGTTATAAACGTTCATATTTTATTGCACGTTAAAAGAAAAAATCTTTTTTTTTACTATAATTTTTCAATCATAAGTCATCATGCTCTAATTAGAATAGTATAAAATTATAATTTTTATGGAACAGGCGCAGTGGCTCAGTGGTAATGCGCTTGGCTTCTGAATCGTGGGTACCGGGTTTGAATCCAGGTGGAGACTTTGATTTTTAATTTTAATTTTATTCTTTGGGCGCCTCTGGGTACCTGATATTAGTTGGGGAAAAGTTAAGGCAGTTGGTCGTTGTGCTTGCCACATAACACACTCGTTTACCGTGGCCCACATTAACAGATGATCTTTAAATCTTCTACCCTATACATCCCAAGGTCTGAAAGGCGAACTTTACTTTTATAATTGTATTTATATTATATTAAACTTTTTTTTTTCATTTTTGGAACACAATGAGTTTCCTTTATGATAACACCAAACAGTATGTCTGCCAGTTGTATTTTAATCAAATATTGATAATTTAACGAAATATACTTGACTGTAAAAGACCTTTGATAAAGTCTAGAAGGGAAATAGTCCAACGGCCAGGAGAGGACCAAATGCTCTTCACCCAAAGTTCTGTCCTAAGGTTTTACAAAATGGTAGGAAGCGTTTTGGGGTTGGGTCGCGCCATATACGTGGCGGGCAGCGCTCCGGATCCGACCCGCTCGGTACAATTGGTCTAACCAAGGGAAAATTCTTCATATTTCTATTATGTAACCGCCCACGAAAAAACTTGAAATAAACGCAAATCAAACTGTCAAGTATTATGATGGTTTCTTTTGTGGAGCAGCGTGGCGGACTTGTATGATGATTTACTGGGTCTCTCTTCCATCGTCAGCCATGTTAGATTAATTTTTTAAAAAATATCACTCAGGGTTAAGGAGGTTAATCTGATATTCGTCATTGGCCAATCTAATTTCAATAGCGGACGTTTCCCCAGAGGCGCCTCGTTGAGTCTACGGGAGTTGAAATCCTAGGGACTTTAAGGTACAGCAGTGAATGATGTCAAACTTTTATCAAAACTTGGATTAGAAGAGCAGGTTCTAAAATTGTCAAATAAAATCCATCTAAAAGAGGTGATGCAGTATTTTCTACATATCAAAATAGTAAAGGGACAGAAGTGAATAGTGGTGAATTTATGATGCATAATTATTATAATTTATACAACCCTTTATCGACTGCGCGATTCGAGTCTTACAAGCTTTTATTTCGAAAAATCAAACTAACTTAATATCATTCGAAACAATAAGAGGTTCAACGTCTTTGTCAACTCGTTATAAGTAGAGAACTATTATCAGAATAAGACATCAAAAATGTTTGCATAGTAACAAATGAAATCATATACAAAATACTAACGACATCTATTTACAATTTACTATATATGATTTAATATTCATGAAGATTTAGTTACTGAAATGTATTGATGCTTTTATTTTCGAACTATTAACAACAATGAAACTGCACCATTAACATAAAAAGAGCAAAAGATAATAAAATCCACTAAAAAAGTAGTATTCACACATTGTTGACTTATATTAACGTTTTAGGGGAAGAAAAATACTTTTTTTCATTTGATCACATCCAACTATAACCACGTTAAGCCATAACTTAGCATAGGCTTATAAAAACTCAATGTTGCTGAATTAAACTAATTATTTATGATTTTTAATATCAGTGTATAAAAGTAGAGAATTTTAACATACTTTAATATACAGTTCTTATACCATTAATATTTCAGAAGCAATGGCATTGTGTGATAATGCAAGTAACAACACAGAAGTGATGGTCTCTCTGGGTCAAAGTGTCAGCATTGAGATTTGCATCCGAGATTCTCTGAAACATTTAAAGAGTGTTGCAATAAATGGGCGCTTTATTGATACGGGTGATACTTCTGTTCACAGTTGGAGAAAATTGTCAATAAAACAAAACTCCACAGAACTGTATTACTTAGAAGTGACGATTGTGAACATTACAAAAGAATTGCCTTTTGGTTATAATGTTAAAATATCATCTGTTCTTAATGACGTACTGTCATACAGCTTCAAATTGCTACTCACAGGTAGAAGTTTTTGAATACCAATATATATATATAGCGCCGGATATAAGTATGCGTAGGCCCCGTGCAAAATATTTGTAGAGTCCCCTACACCTTTTAGAAATGTTCACGAGAAATCCAAATCCACGTATTACTAATAATTCTAATATCTAAAAGCACGCCGTATTTTAGAAGATAGAAATAAAGTACTTGTAAATTGAGTATAATTTTCTTTCTTTATAACAATAAAATTATTTCATGCGTATATTTTAGTGTTAGAAATGTATAGATTTGAATTTGTGTAGGCCCTGGAATGACGTACTGCCGTAAATCCTGAGCTGCTTTAATATTCTTATTACAAACACGCTATATAATCAGACACTTGTTAACCACGACAGTGTTGCCAAATGTAATCGTAAAATTTAAAATATGGTCAATAAAATGCAATGGACCAGCACCACAAATATGTAAAAGTCTTGAATCGGGAAAATTCGGATATTCATTTATACATAATCTGTGTGGGCCTGTCATCCATTAAATTTCCATCCGAATATGTATACATATGTTACCGGCGAAATCCGGCATTCTGTAGAACGCCTAGGCATTCTTAAGTATTAAGTGACATTGGACACTAGTCTACATAATTTAGTCTTCCTTAAAGTTTGGATTATGTTTCAATACGACACAATTGGTGTCCATGCAAGGAGAATATATCGCTACAAAAGATGTCACTTAGTGTATAACAGGTGTAAGGAAATAGGTATTCTATGTCATCAAGGCAAGTACGGACTACTAAGAAGAAACTACTTGTCCAGATATTGATAAAGCGGATAACATGTTCGATGATTCTGGAAAACACTAGAAGTTCTGTTAAGGCTTTAGTACAATTAATTTTTTGTCTGAAATATTGACACATATTTTAGTTTTGAAAAAAGGTTTTCATATCAATATGAAATATACTCGTCTTGAAGTGAAATGTATTATCAACTCAGGAGGCTGTGTAAAATAATATTACCAATGAAAAGCTTGTTTTTTTCTCCTCTTAGAACTTTTAGAAAAGAAAATGTCATACATTAACTCCCTTACCATTTGTGTAGTTTTGTGCGAAAGATAAACACGTCCAAAAAGTCTGAGAGACTTTTGATGAACATGACTTGCTGACATATCGCTTTACAAAGCCTGGAAGTCTCTAGTTTTTAAATATCAAACCGTCTTGTTTGTACTTTCTGTACTCCATTGTGAGGTGTTATCGCTTTTATTACCTTACTATGGGTCTGAACACTTCTGGTAAGCCTCATTGGGTTTCTAAAATTACCTTTTCATTATATTAGAGAAGACAACTTATTGAAACATTATTATATTGATTTTGTATTTTAGAAAAAAACTAAAAAAAAAGTAATTCAAAAATGAGTTTATGAACTCTTTTACCCGTTAAATGTTTTAGCATCTCCCTATAGCCTTCTTCTATTACTATGTATAGTACTATTTTAAATAATTTATATTTAATTTTATTAATATATATTTTTAAATAAGACAAGTTCTACTTTGCCTGATGCAGAACTAGTCATTCTATAGAATGCCTGGAGAATCATTTTGCACTCTGCCGGTAACATATATATTAGAGAGAGGAAGAGAGAGAGAGAGTTTATTTTTTATTTGGTGTTCTTAAAAAAATAAACACATTTAATTATTTTAACCTTTAGATTCGCTACGCTTGTGTGAATACGAAAAAAACGTCACCGCCATTCAAACACATCTCTATGGACATGTGATAATTCACATCTGCTATATAACAAGCTTTGGTGCTCTAGAATATTGTGGAATCGACAAAAAACTCTATAGAATCAATGCTGCAGAAGACAGAGAGGATATATATGTCAGTGTTGAACAGTTGAACGACAGTACGAGATACTTCATGCAAATATATTTTAGAAATGTCACACACCAAATACGCAGCAGTGTTCTGTTGAAAACAAGTCCTAGTCAGAGTCTAAGCTATGCTATAGAAGTTTCATTCAAAGGTAATTATGCATTTAAAAAACTATCCTAGTGCGCCAATCAGACATAAGTTTGCACAGACCTAAGTTACATAACACGAGATTTCTTAAAGAAAAGAAAATTAGATATGGGTAGCGTTTTTCATACTTTTTTTTGGTAAATGTTTGTGCTA